ATTGCTGCTTCAGAGTCTCCGGTCCTGCCTCATGATCTTACAGGTGTTTACGCACTCTTGTCAATGTCATCACATCAGTCTATTAGGAGCCGAAATTAAACTACCTGGAAGCTAATTTTTCTTTTTAAAAACAATAAACTCAGTTTCTCCTTCTAATTCTTTATTGTTTCTCATACTGAGGCTCACCGCTTTTCCTAATATATATGTTTGGTGGGGAGGGGGGCACAGCCCTGAAAGCCTGCAGACAGCACCAACTCTATAAGATTAACCAGAGGTGGCCGTGGATGTTGTGTGACTTCAGCCACTGAGCACGAGCACCTGCTGTCCCTCCAACTGTTCTGCCTCCATTGCTGACAGCCCTGAAGGTCACTGCCTCTTGTAAAATTCTAAATTACAGTTCATATATTTTTGAAAGTTATAAATTTGTGAAAGTCGTCTGCAGTTTGTGTAAAAAGGGGGGTACTTGCCTTTGCTCATTTCAGGCTAAACTAAGTCCAGAAGGACACACCACACACACACACACGCAGTTCTGAGTGCCCCCAAGGAAAAGTTTGAAAGGCTTCGGGACAGTGGTGGCACTCAAACCTTTGGAATTTTGAGCTCTATGAAAACATCACTTATTCAGAAATTAAGCATTATAATTCTTAACAAAGAGATTCAGAATCACCCACAAGATACTTACCAGAATTGTTTTAAAGAAATTACCTTCCCTAAAATCCAATGATAATTCAAATATCCATGGAAAGAAGGTAGATCAGTAATCTCAAGCAATAATTTCTACACTATTGCTGATTAGTCTTCAGCCCCAAACAAAGAACATAGAAATAAGATACCTGGAGATAAAGAGATGGAAAAGAGGTATTAAAAAGCAAGAATATAAAAGAAGTAGTGGCCTTATGGAAACCTGCTCATTTTCTTTGAAATAATTTCTTGGTTACTGGAACTCACTAGTGAGTATCTGGAAATGCATCAGGAGGAAATCTAGCAGGGAAAAGAAGGAGAAGCAGGTCT